GAGCTCTGGGGCCTGGGAGGAGAGAGCCAGAAACCCAGGGCCCAGCCCACGTGGGATGGCCTGTTCCCCCAGGGGAGGCCGTGTGAGGGGCTGCCGCCGCCACTGCTCTCCAGTCATCTCTCGGCTCAGGCATCTGTGCCAGTCGTTTCTAGGCTCCCTTTTGGGAAGAAAAACCCCAGTTCCTCCAAGAAGCAGATGCCGTTCTCCCCACCCCCTTCCCCAGCCCCAAACTGTCTAGAGGAGCCAGCGGTGAGGTTAGGAAATCAAACCCCAAGACATTTTGTTCGGCAACCGAGATTCATTTTTTGTTTGGATAACCGAAGGCCGAAAATGCCAAGAATTTACGGGCAGCCTGGGGAGGCCGGGGCAGCTGGGAGCCCTGGCCAGTTTGGGAGGATCTCTGGCTGGGCCAGGACCCCACGCTGTGCTCCTGCTGGATGCGCTTCTGACCCGCGTCCAGCCAGGCGAGGCCTTGTGACCGTGGGCTGAGGGGCTGAGTTATTCTGAGGTTTGACGTCAGGGACCTGGAGCGAACAGCAGAGGCTGGGGGTCTCCTGCCCAGCCCCTGACCCTTCTCTGCTTGGCTTGGGTGCAGAAGGGGACGAGAAAGAGGCCCCAGCTGATCCTGGCTGAGGAGTGGACACTGGCCATTGGGCTGGTGTGTCCTGGGTTGTCCAGTGTGGACAAAGCGTGTAGAGGCCTGGGGAGGTAGCGGCAGGAGGGATGGACAGCCTAGGGATGAGGGGGTACCCGAGAAAGGGACAGGCAGAGGCTCAGGGAACGCCAGCCATACAGGAGAGAGGATCAGAGTGATAGAGGCAGAGTGAGTGAGTCGGGGCACCTGAGAGCCCTGGACCAGAGGCATGGAGGTGCAGAGATAGAAAGAGCAAGGCAGAGACACCCAGGGAGACAGATGGCCAGCATTTTCCACACAGTCGAGAAAGTGGACGATCCAACTGTTCGGGGTTCGGAGTCTGCCCCAATTCTGGGAACCGGGAGACATCGAGTAGCTTTACTGTCCTCAGGTGCTGGGGGTGGAATAAAGCTTGGGGGCTTGTCTCCTCCCACTCCTGTGAGAAGACAAGGTCCCTGCTGGGGGCATGGGAGAGGGCAGAGAATAGCACTTCCTGGCTGGAAGGCCTGGGGCCGCTGGGGCAATGACAGGACAACGGTGGACCTTTATCCATCACCTGCTGTGGGCAGATGCTTTCCAGGCTCTGCCTCTCTTGACCCCACATCAGAGGTCAGGAGGAGGTGCTTTCATTCTCTCATCTCACAGATGAGTGAAGGGCTGGCCCCGGGTCCCAGGTCCCAGAGCTAGTCCATGTTGGACCCAGGAGCCATGCACTAACCACTGTGCTGTCTGGCCCAGCAAGGGAAGCCTGCTCTCCAGCTGGCTCTGTCCACTCCATCCTGCCCCCCGTCGCATTCCTGCTGCAGCTCTTCACCCAGACGAGAGGGCAGAACAGAGCCAAGAGCTTATGTGCAGCCCACCGATAGTGGACTCCAGACGTGAGTCATTGTGGCAGAGGCTTCCAGGAGGAGGGAGAAGGAGGAGGGAGAGGGAGGAGGAAGGAGAGATCCATAGAAGGAGGGGAAGAGGAGTGAAGAAGGGGGTGAGGGCACAGGGGTGGGGTGCCCCCCGTGCATTCTGAGCACAGGAAGGAGGACACCACAGCAGAGTCCTGGAAGAAGAGAATGGGTATTGGAGATCTGGGAATTCTGAGCCAGACAGGGGCACCCCATTGTCTCAGATCTTGCCTCCTCCACCTCCCTGCCACCCTCCAGAGCTGGAGAAGGAACCTGGACTTTGGAGTGAGAAGCCAGGTTGGGTCTTGCTGCTGTGTGACTCTGGCAAGTCCTCTCCCCTTTCTGGCCTCAGTTTGCTCCCCTGGACACTAGGGACAGGGAGTTGGGGCAAGGGTACGGGCTGCGCAAGTGTTGGCCACAGCAAGCTTGCAACAGGGAGGCTTTTCCCTGGGCCCTCCCAGATGAATGAGTCTTGCTAAAAGCTTGGTCTGGGAGGCCAGTCATCCCCAGTCATCCCTGGTCATCCCAGATGGCGATGATGATGATGTAGGTAATGCTACTAGATGAGAATATTTTGAAACTCATTTTTTTCTCTTCTGGGAGTTTAGAGCAGAAGCCAGAAAGAGGCTTTCAAGTTTCAAGGACTCTGAGACAAACTCAGACCAAGAGAACGTACAAGAGAAGAGCCAGAGGAAGGTCATGGTCATAGAAGGTAGCAAGCATCCCTGGCTGGAGGGAGAGGCATGACTATTCAGGTGCCACATATCCCTGAGTCAGAGGCCACATGTCTCATCTGGCGGGGGAGGAAGGACTCAAGAATCATAGGATCTGTGTTTCTTTCCTGGAAGAGCTCCTAATGGGAACAATTGACGCACACGAGAATTTACTGTGTGCCAGCTGCTGGGCCAAGGACTTCATATGCATCATCTTGTTAAATATTCATAGATGTTGGTAGTACTGTCATTGCATTTTATAGGTGAGGAAACTGAGGCTCAGAGAGGTGAAGCAACTTGCCCCAGGTCACGCAGCTAGAAAGGGGCAGAACGGGTCTCAAATCCCAAAAACTGAGCTCCAGGTTCGTGGCTCTCATCTTCTCGGCTATGCTGTTGCCCAAAGAGGTGACAGGAACCAGAGGAAAGTGACTGCCAGATGTGTTTAGGCTGATGGGTTTGATCTTGTGGCAGGTTCCACCTACACAGGGTGACCTGGCAATGACCCAAAAGCCAAAGGGCATGAAGGGGGCACTCAACCCAAGGGCACCCAAGCGATGTACCACAAACCCCTGCTTGGACCCTACCAGCGACCAGGCAGGATAGGGGACCCTCCAGAATACCAGCATGGACAAGTGACATCCTCAGCCCCGAGGTTACCTGTCACCCTTGGACTGACTTGACCATGACTGAGCTTCCCCTGCCCACTGGTGCAGGGCTCAAAATAGAGATTATGTGGAGTAAGCAAAAGCCTGTGGATCTACCGTATTCTTGCCGAGGTGAAGCACGTATAGCAGCTGGGCAGCAGGCTGAGAGCAGGGCGTGAGTGTTTTTACCGGTCCTTCCATGCTGAGGTGTTCTCCATTTTGCAGATGGAAAAACTGAGACTCACTCATCCACAGCCACACGGCCAGGCTGGGACCTGAACTCAGGTCCACCTGATTCCCAAATCTGCAATCTTTATTCCCACGGCATTCTACGGTGACCCCTGGCCGGGATTATCAGGGGACACGCCACTGACAGCTGAAGAGGTGAGCTGAGTGACTTCCTGATCTGAAATCCATTGATTTAAATCCATCATTTATGCCAGGGGTAGGATGGTGACAGCTGGAAGTGTTGCTGGGCAGTAGGCGTGGGGGGCAAGTAGGCAGAGGACTGTGGGAAGATGGTGAGTGGGGCGCTGAGGAGATAGATGGTCGGGGCAGGAATGAAACAGGAGGTTCAGTATGTGTGTGCAGGAGTGTGTATGCGAGTGTGTGCACAAAACAGCTTGGTTACACACTGGAGTGCAACCTCTCCACCTGGAGGATGGATCAACTCAGGATATGCAGAAGGCAATCCTTTGGAAAACAGGAGGAAACTACCAGAATTTCAATTTACCTAATTTCATGTGTCATCTTCTTAAAGTTCCAACGTCATTGGTGCCATACCTGTACGTATGATATTAATCTGGGGGCCTGCATGTAAACATTAAATAAATATGCATTTATCAGGGGAGTGGACATTGTTTGCTGATTGGGCAAATGATTTGCACAATTTGGAAACCAGAGGGGACAAAGGGATGGCTCCCAGTCTTGGACACCACAGGATGCTTTTCCCTTCCTGACACCCACAGCAGACCACACCTGCGTCTGGACCTCAGTGCATCATCCTGGGCCTGGCACACCATTGGTGCTCAGAGTGTCTGCTTAAAGAATGATGATAGGAGAGACTAGAGTGGCCCCGGCTTTGGGCCACAATAGCAGTGGGGTCCTCCACTCCTTGATGTCTGCCACTCCACATCCAAGTCGTCAGCATAGCCCATTAGTTCTCTCTTCAGAATATATCAGAATCTGACTGACCACACCCCCTCCCCCAGCTCCATCCTGCTCCAGGCCTCCATCCCTTCTTGCCTGGTGGCTGCAGTGGCCTCCTCCTTGGGCTCCCAGCATCTACTCTGCCCTCTACAGTCTATTCTGTTAAAACCAAATCAGGTGTATCTCACCTGCTCAAAACCCTTCAGTGGCTCCTGTGGTGTTCAGAGCAGGAGCCAAAGTCCTTCCAGTGGCTGCTCCCAAGGCCCAACATGGTCTATCCTCCCCTCACCTCTCAGATCTTTTCCCTCACTCCTGTCTCCTCTCCTTCTCTGCTCCGGTCACACTGGCCACCCTGCTGTTCCCCAGGTATCCCAACTACATTCCCACCACATGGCCTTTGCACATGCAGGACCCTTTGCTGGGAATGCCCTTCACCCAGATACCTGAATGGGCTGCTCCATTCCTTCGCTTGTTCTCTGGGTTCAAATACCACCTCTCCCGAGAAGTCCTCTAAGATTATCTGACTTAAAATAGCCGCCCCAATCACTCCTTGCCTTTTTCCCTTTTTCATTTTGCTTCACCATCTGATGTAGTAGATATTTATTGCTCATCTCTTTATTGCCTCCTTCCCTCCACTAGTCCAGAAGGGGATGTACTGTTCTGTTTACTATTATATCCCTGGCACCTGAGATAGGCCTGGTCTGTGGTAGTGCTCAAAGAATCTTTATTGGACAAATGAATGAATGGCAGTTAGGGAATTGGATTTCCAGTTCTGACTCTGCCCAGTCTTGCTGTGTGGTCTCAGGCCAGTCTCAGCCCCTCTCTGGGCCTCATCATCCCCGTCTGCACAATTCAGAGACAAGAGTCCTATCAGCCTGGCCATCTGTGTCCAGGACAGGCCTCTGAGGTGGTTGCTCCACCTGCTGATTGCTGCCCACCACCCCTCTGCAGGCCCAGCCCTTACCTTCTGTAGCCACTGCGTGTTGTTCTCCAGCATTTTTTCCAGCTGTCGCACCCGCTGGGTCGGCCAGTCCCCTAGATTCAGCGCAGCCGCTGGGGAGTCCCTCTGGAGGCTGTTGGAGCCCCCAAAGGTCTCGGGCTCCGGGGGGCAGGGCTCAGGCTCGGGCAGCACGAAGGTGTAGCTGCACTGGCCGTGCTGGACTCGGTGTGCCCGGCGGCGTCCGCCAGCCTCCTGTCCCCTCCGCTGGGCCACAGTCGTGGTGGCCACAACCAGGAGGAGGCCACCCAGCAGCATGGCTGGCCGAGGGGGCATCCAGAGACGGGGCGATGGCGAGGAGTGTCTGGTCAGAGCCCAGGGGCCGAGCCTGCCCGCCGCCGTCTCCGTGCCCGGGGTGCACCCGCGGTGGCCAACAGTGGCCAGGCCTGCCCGCGGGGCTGCTGCAGCTGCAAAGCCCTGTTTGACGGAGCTCTGTCCCGGCGGCTATTTATACTCGTTCCAAATACCACAGCTGCTCTGCTTCCTCCCACTGCCTCCCACCCCCGCCCCCAGACACCCCCTCACCTCTACTCTTGCCTCTTTCCCTTCCTGCCTCCTCACTCTTGTCCACACGCTGCCAGTCCCAGCACTGCGTGCTCTGCCCGCCTTGCGTCTGAGTCCTTTTATTATCCAGTGGAGGCCTGGCCTCCCTGCGAGAGAGGAGGAAAGAAAACAACACACACACACACACACACACACACACACACACACACCCCAAACCCCCAAGCTGCCCGCTTTGGAAAACCAAAGACAACTGAACTCTTTCTTCCTGTCTCTGTCTCTCCTCTCTCTCTCTCTCTAACCTAACCCCCACCAGGCTGGGATCTCAAATTTCAGCCCCTCATGCCTTCCCCTTCTCTCCCCCCTCCACCTTCCCCTCTCTGATTCCATGTTAGCCTTGGAAACCGAGAGAGAGAACAAGAGAGAGCAAGCGAGAGCAGAGTGACCCTAGAGAGAGCAAAGGGGAGGGGGCAGAGGGCTGAGGCTGGGGAGGAGGCAGCCAGTCCAATCTGTTTGTAGAGACAGAAAATCCTTGCAAAGCCAGGGAAGCGGGCGCCTTGGCTAGGAGCTGGCTCCCATCCTCCCTTCTCCCTCAGGGCCTGGAGGGCCATTGAGCCCTGGGGTGTCCCTGGCTCCGTTGCTGTGACAGTCATGAGAGATTGTCTCATCTTAGGACACACTGATCTGGGACCACCTCTGGCTGGAGTTGGGAGGTGAAAAGTGGACAGAAGAGCTTGGGGTGCAGCAGTGTCTCAACCAGCCCCCCGAGTTAGAGGCAGCTGGTTTTAAATCCCCTTCCCCAGCTGCTGGGACCTGAGACCCCAGGTAGGCAGCCTCACCTCTCTCAGCCTCCCCATCCTAAAGTTTAAGCCAGGTAAACCCCATTTCTTGCATGAGGAATGTATGTGGGTTCTCTGCAGGAGGACTGAGGGCTTTTTGATTTCCTTGTTTACCTGTTTACTCATGTAAATCCTGACTTATGACTTACCAGCTGTGTGACTTTGGGCAAGTTGCTTAACATCCCTGTGCCTCCATTTCCTCTTGGTGAACTGAGAGAAATAATACAAAAAACTATGTGAGATAGAGCAGGGCTGGCACCAGATGATCACTAAATAAATGTTTTTTTGTTCTTGTTGTCAGTGTCATAGTTATTATGTATCTCCCCTCCCCCAAGCTGCTGGGATGTAAACCCCAGGAGGGCAAGGATTCGTCCTTGGGGACCCTGTTGCTGGGCAGAAGGTGCCCAGGAGTTGGTTGGCCCTCAGCTGGGTGGGCAGTCTTCTGGGTTTCTCTGATTATTTTCCCAGACTGGGTGCCTATCCGGCTATTTGGTATTGTTTCTTTTTTTCCCTTTGTTTTCCCAAATCCTGACAGAGTTGTGAACTGGGCAATCTGGTTGGGACAGCACAAGCTGGGGGTTCATCCGGAGGACTGAGAACATGAAACCAGGTGTGTGAGGCTTTGGCAGGAAAAGGAAAGGCAGCTGGGCATCAGCCACCAGCATTCTCTGAGCTTCCCACGGGCGCCGAGCCCTGCTCGCCCATCTCTGCCTCCATGACTGTAATGGGGTCATACCGCTGCCGACCTTGTGAGGAAGAGCGTGTTAATGCAGATCATGAGTTTTTCACAGTGCCTGGCACAGATGGGCCCAGAGTAAAGGCGACTCTTGTTAGGATTGTGTTGGTTGAACTTCGTGATAATCTCAATGAGGCCAGCATTATTATTCACCCCATTCTATAGAGGAGAAAACTGAAACCCAGAGAAGGAGAGTGATTTGCCTAAAGTCACACAGCCTGGGGGTGCTTGACCGGGAACTGGGGGAGGAGGGCAGGCTCAACAGCGAGGCTGGCCCCTGACCCCATCCCACTTCCTCCTACTTACCCCTCAAGGCAGTGCATGAGGACGCCTTCTCCCCCATACCCACCAGCCTCAGTCACCCCATCTGAGCACTAGAAGGTGCATTAATACCTCCTTGTGGAAGCTCCCAGCATAGGCAATGTATTCAATCTTACTGAGTGAAAGAAAGAATGAATGTTAATCCCACCACCCCCAACACAGGCTTAATTAAATAGACAGTTTCCATAATTATGCTAATACAGAATGGCTCTCTGCACAGAAGAGGATTGTCTGTTCACAGGAGAAATGCAGGTAAAATCAAAAGAAGAGTTTTGGAAAGCTTGGGAGATGGCCCTGCTAACCTCTGTACTTTTCATTTCAACACCTCCTTCTCACCTCAGGAACTTTGTATATGCTGCTTTCTCTGTCCAGAACACTGCTGTCCACCTGCCCTCACGTCCAGCTTTCAGCAATGTTCCAGTTACTGTGGCTGCCAGAAAATTACCCCAATACTTAGTGATTTAAAAAAAGTAACCATTTATTATCTCTCAGGGTTTCTGTGGGTCAGGAGTGGCTCAGCTAGACAGTCTGCTTTAGTTTCTCAGATGGTGGCTGAGCCAGGATCATCCTGAAAGCTTTTCCTCTCACCTGTCAGCACCTGGGCATCCTCCTCACTCCCCATGCTCGAGTCTCCAGCTTGGTGACTTCAGGCAGCTGGACTTCTTACCTGGTCCCTCACAGCTACAAAGGCGCATGCCCGGAGAGCCAGGTGGAAGTTATGTGACCAAGCTTTGGAAGTCATTCAGTGGAACCTCTACCGTATTCTATTGGCTGGTGTTTGCCTGGGTTCAAAGCAGGAACCTAGACCCTACCTCTCGATGTAGGTGTGTCAGTGTCACCAGAGGAGCATACAGGATGGGGGGTGGGGGGTAACATGGATGTAGCCGTCTCTGAGAAATGCTCCAGGCAGGGGAACTGATATATGCTCACATAGACCCCTCAGCCCTGATCATGTCTTAAACCAGAACCTCCCCTTTTGGAGCCCTCTCCCTTTGTCTTAACCCTTCTCAAGGTGCAAAGAGGTTAATTACTTGTGTAATTATTCATCTCTCTCTGTTTATCCCCAGCATTTGATATATAGTATGTTCTCAGTAGATAAATATCTGCCGAATGAATGAATGAAGGAGTGAATGCTTGAGCCAGGATCTCCCTGTCAGGCTGATGAGGGGCAGGAGGCTGGAGCTCTGTGGAGCTGCCTTGGGGCTGCAGCATCAGGGCAAGATCCAGCTGAGACAGATGCTGGGAGACCTCGGGCAGCAGATCTGACTGCTTGGGGCGGAAGCTTTCTGCTCCTCAGTCAGAGAGCGCGAACAGATCTACCCACGTCTCCTGAGCTCTCACGCGGGGTGAGCCCCGGGGAAAGTTTACAAGCTGCCAGGCCACTGAGGATCTCTGAACATGGGGCCTCATGACCAGTGGTGGAGGTGGTTTGGGCATCAGTCTAGCCCAGAGGTGGAGGGCTTACAAAGCCACCTCTTGACCTTCAGGGAAAGGGAGCCAGCTGCTCCCATGAGAAGCAGCAGGTGCCCAGGTGGTAGCAGGGAGGAGGAGCTGGTGACTGAACCCGGAGAGGTAATTGGAAAGATGCCATCTGAGGTTAGTTAGCAAGCTCAGGGAGACTGAAGAAAGCACTGAACTCTGGACCTGGAAGGGCCTTTGGTAACCGGCATGCTTTGCGCTGTGGACTCCTGACCCTGAAATCTGAGCACAAGACCCAGGACCATCTACCTTTTGGAAGTGACCTGCTAAGTCTCAAACAGAACTCCTCATCTTCTCCCCTGACTCCACCCCATATGAGCCTCTTCTGAATCGCCCAATCTTGACCAGGCACCTGGGCCAGAAATCTGGAGGCAGGGCCGCCTTCATGGGTGTGTGGCCTCTGGAGTCACACAGGGCCAAGAGCTTAGAAGAGTCCCACCATCAGTTTAATGTTCTGCTGCCACTATCTTGAGATTCTTAATAAGCTCTGAACAAAGGATCTAGCTCTTTCATCCTGCACTGGGCTCCTCAAATTGTGTAGCTGGTCTTGCCAGGGAGACACGAGCCCCCATCATCCCCCTCACCCCACCTTGGCCCTGCCAGCCAATCGGACCTATTCTGCCAACATGACCCTTTAAATAGGTCTCCCCTCTGCCCTTCTTGCTATTCCGGGCATACGGGAGCCAACCTGCCTGCGCTGGAATTCTGACTTTCCCATCTCCCAGATGTATAGCCTAGGCCAATTTGCTTAACCTGTCTGTACCTCAGTTTCCTCTTCTGTCAAATACTTGATACTAGCAATTACCTAGTAGGGCTGTTCAAAGGATTAGAAAGCCGATCCCTGTAAAGAAGGGTTAGCACTGAGCCTCGCTTATACCAAATGCTCAGTAAGTGGCAGCCCAGTGATGCCATCATCCCCTCACTGTCACTGTCTTACCCTACAGTCTTCATCTCTTCTTGAGGGGAGAGAAACATCTCAGAACCGAACTCCTGTTAATCCATCTTTGATGCTGCAGTCAGTGATTTTTCTGTGACACAAACCCAGCTCCTGACTCCTGTGCTTAGAACTCTTCCATTTTAAACTAACTCTTGACATGGTCCATCATTCCCTGCGGGATTTGGCCTCTAGCCTCATCGCTCTTTCCCTGGGACTTGGTATCTTGTGACAGGGAATCGGTTTTACTTTCCAACACGCTCTCTGCTGACTCCAGCCTCAGGGACTTTGCTTTTGTAGTAACACCTGCTTGGACAATCCTCCACACCTTTATTCAGTGGCTCCCTTCTACCTGTCTTTTGGGTCTCATCTTAGGCATCACCTTCTCGGGAAGCCTTCCTCATCTTCCTCCCTCCTTGGGTGGAAACAGTCCCTCTTCCTCTGAGAACCTGAGGTCCCCTTCCTGTGTGTTCCCCATCAAAGTACTTACCCTGTATTATAAGACCTTGTTTGCAGGACTTCATCCCCTCTATAATCTGAAAACTCTTTCAGGGCACTGACCACACTTTTCATTTCTGTGTCTGTTGTCTGTCCAAAGGTCATCTTCATAGTAGATTCTCAAGAGTGTTTGTTGAATGAATATTCTCCACTATAGGGTGGGGGCTTCGGCGGCCATCCCCAGGTGGAGACTAAGGACATCACCC